GATATGGGAGTGAACTTGTAGTTGTTGAAGACTTATTTAAAAAGGCTAATTCTATGAAATGAAGCAATTATTATTTGATGAAAATTTGGTTCCCTTTGTGAGACTTTGGGTAATTGATTTGATCTTTAAGATTGGGTCAATGGTGATGAAGCCAAGGCTCGGGTTGCGATCTGTGGTCATGTCGTGTTAAAATTGTTAATTTGTTATCTTTTCAAACTCTAGCTTTCCTTAAATCTTTGTTCTTCCCCAAATCTCCCAAATCCCCATCATAAATCCCTAAAAATCTCGTTGTTCCGCATCACCATCTAATGTGTCATCTCTTAACTAATAGTTCATTTTTTTTAATTTTACCACTAATGAAAATCAGAAGATGGAGCAATGGAACAACCTCGTATAACACAATAATTTTCATGGATAACCCTTGTTTGTTTGGTATTTGTTTTCACCTATTAACTGTAAAAAGAATGATTCAGTATATAAATTCATTTACAAATGCAAAATGTAGAATTGAGACCTAAGAAATGCAAGCTGATTAGAAGTTGATCCAAACATCAACTTGCTTGAGTAAACTTTTAAAAACAAGAACAAAACCTTTATCCTAAACTTTTTAAGTCTGCTAAATGAATCTTATTCTTTCATTTAGTTCTATCACATGTTATATATCTCTTTTGTGAAGTTGAAATTACCATGTCTTTAATGCTTTCGATCAAGTTCTATTGAGCATAGCACTAGCCTTCTTTTCTCCATTAACTATAATCTTATTAATCTCCTACCTGATGCTTTTAGAGGCCTCCTTTGCACATGGCTAAACCATCTCATGTGATTCTTTTGTTAATTCCTAATAGGAACCATCTCTAACTTCCAAAATGCACTCATGTTTTTCTATTTCTTGATGTATATTCACACGTCCACAGAGCATTCTGTTGCATGCATTTTTCTACACATGTTGTTCTTAATTGCCAATATTTTTGATTCGCAAAATTGTGTCAATCTTTTAACTGGCTAGTAGATTTTTTCCTTTAATTTCATAGGTATTGAATGATCACATAAGACTCCACAAGCACCCTCCCCATTAACCATCCCGATTCATTTCCATGAATTACATCATCCGAAATTTTACCATCTTGACGAATGATTGATCCTAGATTGCCAGAGTGATTGGTTCTTTCCTTTTCATGATGTAATGAAATTACAGTCCATGTATTCTCTTTTGTTTTATTAATTCTCAATAT